AATGGGAATCAGACAACGCTAAATATTCGTCCAATCTAACAGACACGTGTGGCAAGTCGAGTTTGAGAACTGAAGTATCGCCGAAAGCTTATGATTGCTTCAAAGCCGTGACAATTTGTAGCTCGAGATAACACGATTTTTCGGCAACCTTTGAGTCTTACAATCCTAATAAATTTGCTAGTCCATAGTTGTGGAACAAGCCACTCTGCGTCATTTTCTATAAACACAATGCTATGAATGTTAGTTTAGTCCAGTAATACTAAGCCCCGGATATTCAAAGCGATAATGATTGTTGGGGCGGGGTCTTCATTCCCGTAGTTGCCTCATTTATATCTCTCATGATTCTCTAAGGCTGTTAACTGAAATGTGCTTCGAATTTCAGGACGACGGGTTTCAACTCAAAGTAGTACTTGTCTTGTATCTATTCAAATTTGGATATGATCTAAAAAAATCAATTGAAAGTTAAAAATAAATCTCAGGAGGGCGCTGTTGGCGATTGGCTTCACACCGCCCCAATTACCAAGTATAGCACGACTTTATAATGTGAACTTCTTTCAGTTTTCTTCTATAAACACGCGTATTACAGTAACGTTGGATAGTCTTTATAGAAATTGTCTCGCCAGACGGCCGGCGCTGATTGCGATGATTCAACCAACCCGGAGCCTCGTCTACGCAACTCATGGCCTCGAGACATGTACTGGAGGACCTTCCAATTTTATGTAATTCTACCAGGCTTACTTGGATTACTAATTACATATTTGTCTCAAAGTTCTGACCACTGGCATGAAATGAAATAGTATTTAACTGCCGGGGTTAATAAGATTACATACAACTATGCACAGAAAACAACGGCCATCGGCATGAACATCAGCAAAGCAATGATATTGTTGGTATTATATCTTCTAACTTCACGGTAATGGAATAAATAAAACTATATTTTCGATAGATGTGTGTTTACAGAATATGTAAGTAAATACACACCAAAGTATAATAATAATAATAATCATAAAATTCGTATAACCCCACGATCAAATCTTACTATTGGTCTTAGCTTGAAAAACGGTTTTTGTGACCGTTACATGGAGCTACGAAATTTACATATTCGTGATGACATCATCGTGACACGTGTCTGAAAGTGATCATTTGTGATGAATTCAATTTCTTTTTGTTTTTGTTTTTCCTAAACTTCAAACCTACCAAGATTTTGCTCAGTGGCTATCGACTCAGTAATCAGTGGATTCCAGACTATCGTCATTGGGGCACTCAAATATCAGCCTCAAGTGAAATGCGCATTTATAGCGAAGCGTGCTTTCAACGTGATAACATTGTGATTGGTGGGCCTGATTATTGATTGACCAATCAAAACCGCGATACTAAGTAATGATAATTGTGTTCAACATTGACGTTCGGTTATTTTGAATGTTGGCATACTAAATGTATCGCTCATCGAGTAGAACTCTAATGCGACAAGTATTTAAAGGACGGCAGTCGTCGTGCCGCGTTCTTTTCGATATGGGACTCATAGCGACGTATACAACGCGTGTAAAATACATTGTTTATTTACATGAAATTCGAACACGCGCTGCGCGACGACCACCGCGCCTTAAACAGTCGTAAGTGTAAGACAGTTCATATAATGCCGATGCTAGGATTACTTTACGTGTGTGCAATATACACATGTCAACCAACTATAATACACCAATATTACGTCCTCCAGTACAGGCCTATTTAACAAAAAAAATCTACGCGCATTAAAATTCCATGTGCAGCTGTCAGACATGGCCACGACGTTATTTCAGGAGTACTTTCGCATTTAAAAGCGTTAACTACAGTGAAATAGACATGTAAGATAATTGTAGGTCATACAAGGTTTCACGAGGAAGATAGATAAGATGGCCAGGGCAGTGTATTCTCATTAATTTCCATGTACGAAGTAATTAGGTCGATCCGCGATCAAATCACGTCTATATCCGTAGTGAAATGAACACTGCTGATGACATGTATATTGCTTGGGATAATGTTATAGTGTACAACTGAAGTCCCCGCTCGTATTATGCATATAGGTGTTACCAAAGCATTCACCTTTAATGTGTTTTACGATTGCTGGCAAATCTCAGCTAAATCATCTCTCTTTTGAGACGCATTGTATGTGCCATTCTGTCTAAATAACTCCTCATCACCGGTAACAGTGAATAACAAGTAAAATTGGGTCGGAGTAAAACGTTAATTATCACCCATGTTCTGGGTCATTGTCCGTGCAATGGGAACTTGTAATAATACCGCGTGGTGTGGACACAGTCATAAGAAAGTTCAGTCCGTATGGAAGTTGCTATTCTATAGGTTACGATGTAGAATGGTGACAAGTACGTGATTTTGGTTCATTACAAAAATAAAAAGATTTATACCATCTTTGTAACAGTTCATATGAACTTAAAGCAAGACCTGCTTTTAATGGTCTATATGTAGATGACCACATTAATCAGTGTGTGTCGACTTTTTACAGTGGCGGATCCAGAGGGGAATGCATCTGGATTACGCATAGCTTCTCTGCGATTTACGCTCCGTAAATTTTAAAGTAAGCTTGGAAACCCCCCCCCCCCCCAATACATTTTGCTGGATCCGCCACTGACGTTTTAACACCTTGGCGATTTCCAAAAATGTAAAGCAACAATGTCCACTCATAATTGTGTGACATTTACGCATTAAAGTGGACACAAACTAGATTTGTACGCGAGTTTTGTGACAATCTCACTTCCCCTGGCACCACGCAATTTTGGACCAATTAATTTTTGCCTAGGTACGCACTATGGCTAATTTGTTGTCTGTTTTCATAATACAACATTGTTGCGACTGTCCAAAGAAAGTTGTAAATTATTCATACGAATCTTTTTTGCAGTCCATAGGAACATTGATAGAGACTTTCCCAGGGAAATTACAAGTTACTCTACGAATCTCTCTTGCGGCCGCTGTCAAGAGGCATTTCTCACACATTACATGTCAAGGAAGCTAAGAATAAACTTCTATGTGCTGTTATTATTGGTAGCATGGAATATAAATAGAAAATATTAAACAAACAAAAAATTATAATAAGGGATATTTAAAATTAGCCTCATAAACAAGAAGCCGATCAACTAATATAGCTGTGCAATGTGATACTCAGTATTAAAGTTTTTAATTATTACTAACAAAAACAATCTTATTAACGCAAAATGATTTAATATGACCACCTCTGATTAGCTTGTAATGTACCTGTGCAGACATTAGTTTGCAAATTTAGGCAAATAACACGCAGGGATTTCTAATCGCATCTGTCGATTGCCCGAGAGCATCAATAGAGGCTAGAATTTCCATAATTAGTCATTCAATGCTTGGTCATAGGAGATTTGACGGACTAGATTATGATATTAATCACCATACAATAATTGGCTTACAAAGAAATTGTCAGTATAGGCACTATCTCTTCGGCTAACTGATGGCTTGGTTCACACTGAATCATAACAGAGCAAAGTTCTCGCCACAATTGACACCTGCCAGAGTATGCATTGTGCAATAAAACTTATTTATGGCACAAATAATTGATATGAAATATCATTAAAACAAAACAATTTTTCCCCCCAATTGCAGCATAAATAGGTTTTTGTGATGATATTTTGTTATTTGTCAATGTCATTTAAACATCAAAATTAAACTCTGCAAAGGTGTGTAAATGTGCAATCATTGTTTTATAAACATATCTAAGAAACAGTAAAAGACAATGGCATTAGAGTCATCAACCAACAAATTTGATCAAAACTTTAAGATTTTGCCTATGCAAATCACCTACTAAATATATGCATAGATATGGCACTAAAACTAAGCAAGTCTGCACATTACCTCAAAGTACCCATGAACTAAATTTGAACAAAATTCACTCACTTTCAATTGAGATTTTACTCAATGAAATGTGTACTGAAATTGGTCAAAATAAGCTCAGAAGTTTTAAGATTTTGCTTACATCAATAGACAAATGGATAGACAGAAAACTCATTACCTCTCTTGTGTGCTTCACCAATACTATAAAATCATTTATTTTTGCTGGCATTTAATTTCACTACTTTGATCCTTTTCACTGGGTTCACGAATTTGGCAGAAAATAACTAGTTCTGTTATTTTACATGTTCACATAGATTTACCTGAACATTTTATGAGGAAAGCTTTTTTTTCTTGCACACTGATAGGAAAGACACTTAATTTATGTAGATTTGAAGTATTGACATATCCACATAATTAAAGAGGAGAACTGCCATAGAAACTGGCAAGTTCCAAACTTTGGCACATTATGCAGGGGAACAAACTTTGGAAAGTTAAACTCTGGTTTGGTCAAAACTTAATACTGCCTTACCCTTCTGAAATAGTCTCAGATTAGTACAAGATATGTTAACATTGACTACTGTACATCAGCCTTCATAAGCACAGAAACCCAGTTCTGTCCTTGCTATTTGTATATTTCTATTGTACAAAAGTACAGGTAGGGCATTTTCAGATAATGAAAATAACATTCACCAACACAACACATACAAAAGTACAATCAATTACTGGGAAGCTGGCATACTTTCTAAATTATAGCTTACACAATTTTACAGACAAGATATTGGAGTACAAGTGTCAATCATGTCCAAAGGAACAGGTGATTTTATAAGAAATCTGTACATCGAGTTGTAAAAATGAATATAACAGACGTACATAATAGAAGAGACATGTGCCTAATAAATACCATTGTTACCAACAGAATACATAGGCATCTACATGTGATTGACAGGCACATATCACAAATAAAAAAAAAAATGGCAATTTAACAAAAAACATGGTTACTATAGTGAGCATCTTTCCTGTATTGTGTATTATGACATACAGACGATGAATGTACACAGGGTAATGGGGTCAACGTAATTGACAACTCAATGAACACAAATACATTGATAACAGGTTAGGACTGTGAATGTAATAATTGAATAGTCACATTGTTAGTCAACTTGTGATTTATTGCATACTGTATAAAAAAAATACTACTACATAACAATGGCACACTTCACAATAGTAAATGTAATTTGTATTTTTTTGTGCATTTGTTATTATGAACGATTAATAAATTGCAGTTGTTTTGATTGACACTGGAGTGAACTCAATTGACAATAGATGTCAAATTTCATATTAAATACGAGTGCCAAATTTGTGTCCACCTAAAACTGCATTAAAACTGACACATTAGCGTTTTAAAGAATGACTAATTGGCAGCCTTGATTGTGACTGAGGCAGTACAGCAAAGTTGGCCAAGGAAGGGAGGAGTGTGACAACTAACCAGAACAGCTTGGGGACAATGAAATGAAATTTTCACCATCAAACTATATGAAAATGCAAAAAAAAATGACTGGAATTGACATATACAGCAAAATTTGGAATCACAAGTTTTTATAAGAGTCCGTCTGTTCTGATCATTGAGCACAACTCGCTTATTGATTTACCGGTAAAAAAAAGAAAGAATTATCATATCTACATGAAATAAGTGAAAAGTTGAAGGCATATACACACGCATGAAATCCACTGTAACTCTCTAAATTCAATGAAGAAATATCTACACCGAGAGACAGCGCACTCAACTATCAATACATTTTTTTTTCATAAAGAAAGCAAATAAAAACCCACTAATGATATATTTCCAGCTATAAAAACACTAGTTTTTAAAAAAAGGATTACAAACAAAATTGGTCTGGTTGAAAAAAAATTAAATTTCCTTTCACTATGGTAAAAATAATACAATTGTTAAAATTGACAAAACTGAGCAAAAAAGTTGAAAATTGCATGTGGTAACTCACCAAAAGGGGCTTAATATTTACAAAGTACACAAACACTTTGGCCTTTCATTTTGGTGAAGACATAATTTCAAGTACTCTTAATGTTAAAAATATTAAAAAATTTATAATTAATTTTCATTCTGAGGTTTAAAAAAAAATTAGATGGCAGTTTGTAATTGGAGTCAATGGGGACATGGGAAATGCACATTGTAACAAGTGCATTGTCTCTCTTATTGACTCAACAAAAGCAGGTTTTACTGCCAACATTTCAATTTGTCAATCAATACAATGACTCAGTAATTAGTATTTGATGTAATTACATTATCTGATTACCTAAATAACATGATTTCATCTTAATTTGTGCCCATAATTACCATGTTTTTAAGACTTAAAAATTTGGTTAGCAGAGATTTCTTATAGTGTGGAGAAGTAAAGAGAAAGCAAGAAGAGACAATGACACACAATGCATGCTGGGGGCTGCTCCAATTTGTCGCTGAGACCCATCTGTGAAAGAAGAAAAATACAGATATTAAAAACATGGAACTTGACACAATGAAATGAAATACGACTTTGAATGGTATCATATAGTGTTATAACCGATTTTGTGACTTCAAAGATGAACAGGGCTGCATACCTCCTTCCCAGTATAGTTTTTTAAAAATTTCTGCCCATGTTGAGATTTGTATTTTTTCTTATGAAATTAATAAATATTAAACTCGTTAGATTCTATTTTCTAACTAATAGTCTAATATAAATTATTTCTGGGTACTGGACCTCCCCAATCTTGAACTGGCACCATATAAGGGTGCAGGTAAACAGTCTGCAAAACCTTTTAATTCTCTGACTGTATTGCAAAGGTTCAGTGATGGTTCAAATGTACTTACACAATGGAATTTTGATAGGATCACTAGTGACGCCATCACCACCTTCACTGTAACCTTGTACCTGTAGCAAGTACGTTGCCCCCGGTTGCAGTCCACTTATGGTGCCTTTAATGGTGTCCGCACCTTTGATGTCAACCTTGGTGGCGTCGCGTTCAAAACGACCATCTAAGTAATATAGAATCTGTAAATGAAATGAAACACAGCATGTGAATCAGAGCGCCATCATGTAAGTGACTTGAACAGACACATGTATGGCAGCAAATCGAGCAGCAGCACAAAGAAAGTCTTCCATTTTGGGGATGCCATCCCTCAAAAGACACTAAATAACCAAACTTAAAATGTGATTTATCATTCCATGCGTGATCTTGTGTAATGCATAAAAAAACATCTGCTGCAAAAACATAACGACTTGATTTTAAACTCAAATTTCCTTTTTTCATATCATAGTTCAATGTCAAAATGCGAGGAGAGAATATGGTGTGAGTGCCCTTACTTTAAAACTGACCATCAACAAACACATTATTAAGCATAGAAATACGCCGAAAAAACCTTTAGCATTTTTCAAATTCCATGGATGCTTCAACGAACGATGAATACGTGTCCTGATTTTTAGTTTGATTTCATACATATTGCAGGATCTCGCAGTGTAAGAAAATTGATATATAATGCTGGAGAGCTGCCATATAAGCATGATGGTAGGGGACAGTAGATAATACCAATAAAGTAAAATAGAACCAAGTTCACATTTTCAGACAGTCATTTTTCAAAGACAAATATCTGTCTTTATCTTCACTATCATGTTAATGTCAACGAACAAACGATTCATTAAAAAACAATTACAGAAGCAAAGTCATAGCAGAGTGGCAATTTTTTGTGAAACGGCGCCCTCAACTGATGTATCGAGCAGCATCCACAATAAAACGATTAAATTCCAATTTAGAGGGAAGTAAGTTTTTTTGAGCACACCAAACTCTGATTAGAATACATTTTAGCTGTAAATAACAGAATAATGCAAATACCTTGTATCCTTCAAGAGGTTCTTCCTCATCATTGTAGGAAGTAATCTTGTCCCATGTGACTAAGATAGATGACCATGAACTGACTGCAGCTTTCACGTTCTCAGGAGCATCTTGGGGCGCTGAAAACAACCACCACCATTCATCATGTCATTAATAACTCATCAGGCAATTTTATTCAACACAATTTGAAAAATATTCATTAATAATTTAGCTATTCAAAGAACTCTCCTTATAAACTGATCTATACAAATAACTGATTCAATTTGGTCCAATATTAAGAAATAGAAGTAATGAGATTGTGATGACAGTGACATTTAAATGTCGGTCAAATAAAATAATTTGTAATTTTAAATATAATGGTTGTGGTTGTTCATATTATGCACACACAAACACTGCACTATGTGCAGAGGAATGAATGTTATTATTGTAAAAACATTTATTTTCACTATTTCTATGCTCTGGGCAATTTCACTGGTTTTAAGTTCATGAACTTGGCAGGAAAACAATGAATTTTATTTCACATGTTTACATGGATTTAATTAACAAATTTTACTTAACGCCAAAAATAGCGAAATAAAAAATAAAAAAAAAAAAAAAAA